TTTTTTTTTTAAATATAATTTTACATATTTGTGAGATAGAGTATGTTGTTTGAATACATGCATATATTGTACAATGTTTCACTTAGGATAGAGAGCACATCCATCACCTAAACATTTATCTTTTTTTGTGGTGATCATGGTGAAGATCCTCTTTTCTAGAAAGACTCTTGAAAAACTTTACTGTGTATATGTGTGATTGAGTCCGGCCAGGTTGAATATATGTTTTTATGTGTCAAAATTTTTCTTGTTGTTTTTTGTTTGCTTGCTTTAGTTTTTATTTATTTTTTAATTGACTAATAAAAATGTGTATATTTATTGTGTACAACATGATGTTCTGAAACTTCCTGTAATGACATCTGAGTAAATAGCTGGTACAGGTTTTTTATACTAATATCAACCTTGGTCTTAGATGTGCTAATTTTTGTTTCCTATGTGCTGATTCTCCATGTTGTCTTCTGCATGCCTTCCCAAGATGCTAACCACAAAGCTCTCAGTACTTGTGGCTCTAACGTCTGCATCATCACCCTCTTCTATGGGCCTGGGATCATCTCAGTTTTCACTCAGCAGTTTGGATGCCGCATCACACTCCATATCCACATCCTGCTTGCCATTATCTCTATTCTCATTCCACTGATGTTAAATCCCATCATTTATGGGATTAAAACCAAACAGATCTGGGACATGGTGGTTCATTGGTTGTTTCCAAAGCAGAAATGACTGTAATAATGGCAACTAGCATTGCATTTTTCTCAGGAACTCTCTTGATGCCTTAGGTAAGCTTTTGCATTGGGATATGGACAGGTACAGTGGAGATACTGATGACATGACTCTATGTCTTGGTGTTTTAGAGCAATTCTATCAGGAATTTTTGGTGAATGATTCTTCCAAAGCCTTTAAAAAGTCATTAGATGTCAGTGTCTTTGGGGGGTAATTAGTTTTCTCATTCATAGAATTCAAGACTAGATTATTTCACATCTCTGCCCCTAGACTGGAGGTTAGAATGCAATGAACTGAAGACAGTGGCCTTTCCTGGATAATCACAGAGCTATTCTTTACTAGTATATCCTATGCTTTGAATGGATGCACTTGTTTTACTCCTCTCATTAGGACATTTCTCCAGCCATTCATCCCATGTCATATCTACCTTCAAATTTTTGCTTTTTAGACAAGTTATAAAATGTATCTATATCTTAAAATTCATGTATATTCAAGGGCCGGCCCGGTGGCGCACTGCTACAGTGCGCCGCTTGGGAGTGCGGCGGCGC